CCGCCAACAAGGACACCTGGCTACACCAATGTTCTGCCTACCAGGTAAAATATCTACATAAAAATCAGGTAGATAGAAAGTCCCTTTTTGCTTCTGTATTTAACAAAAATGACGTGTATCATCCAAGATCCGCACATAGGCGTGTTTTTCTGATTCATTTTAGGAGCCCTAAGTCGTCTAACTTAGACCACACTGACATTATTTTATGGACGACATCCGCGCGCGCATTGATTTTCGCCTGTTCTAAAACAAGTGCTTCTGCAAAAGCTGACCATTTTCGCCGCTTACAGGCTTACAGTTTTTACGAACATTTTCCCCATCCTAGCATTTCAATTTACCTAAGTTATATAAATGGTTCTAGTTCTCATCAACATTGTATATAATGAGAGAACATGCACTTCTATATTTCAACTCTTTAAGTTTAAAACATTACAAAAATCAAGTATATAACAGTTTATAACCTGTTTTCTCTCTTTTAAGAGTCTTTTTAACAGAATAAAAAAATGAGACACAAAAGTACATTTTAACTTAAATTATAAGTAACGTTAATATATATATATATAATTTTATTCAAAATCTCTTCTATGGCTTTGTCCCCAACATCTAAGTTTACAAACCTCGTGACATTCAACCAGGGCTTTAGCCAGCGCCCGTTTTACCGTCAATTGACGGTATTTTCTTCCCGTCGGACGGTAAAAATTTAAGTCCTTACCGTCAACATTGACGGTCAAAAATCGTGGGTGAAGACATTAAACTTAGCAAAAAATGTAGGGAATTTGAATGAGCCACGGCGCGGGGTCTTTCCAAAGCGCGTCGCGTCTTTTCAAAACGCCGCGGGCCCACACATTTCTTATTTAAATACGGCGGGAAACCTGACTTCAAGGTAACGTGCCGATGTACTGTTAACTCGGTTCTTTTCTTCAATGTTGCTGTCTGTTTAAACAACATGTGCTAACGGCCACATAAGAACAATGGCTCGACTCACACTCACGCTGGTAACTGTACATGACAATAAGATAAATAAACAACATGTGGCAACGAACAAAAGAAATATCAAAACGTTTTTGAAAAATATACTGTACTTGAATTTTCATACCATCGCAGAAAAACGGAGATCGATCTACGCAAAGTGGCTTTATTATTTATATAAACTTCGTTAAACCACCTTCGAAGACTTGAGCGGCAGCATAAAGATAAATTTTCTGGAGCCGATCGCTGAAGCAAGTTTTTGCCGGCGTACGTAACTCCCTCCGCGGCAAAATCCCATATGCCGTAGCGAAATCGCGTCTCAGCACTTCCCCAAATCAACTCCATGGCCGCTAAAGTCTGCAAATGAGGTTAAACTTCCTCATTTCGGTTGAGAAGCGAAGCTACTAGTATAAAATCATGTGCATGGCGGCCATTTTGTTTGCTACCCGAAGTCTTCCGAATGATCAAAATAAGGAAATCGTCGGAAATCTGAGCCACATCCCTCGCTGTCGGCATGCGCTCGGGGCTGGCTCGGTGGAAATCGGAGGCTGTGGCGTCAGGACTAGGTTTATTTGCATGGCTCGGGAAGCCGCCGCGGCTTGAATCGCAGCGGGATTTGGGCGCCGGGTGGGTCAAACAAAGGGAATATGAAGTTGTGAGGACCATAGTTTTTTTTTCATTCTTCAAATTGCAGATTGTGTAATTTTTATCCTGAAATCTTGAAAATCTATGTGCAAATTGCAGACTGAAGACGGGTATTTAGAACACTGAATACATGAAGTGTGCGGGGGGGCATGATGTCGATCACCGAATCATGATTTTTTTTCGCGTTGACCCTGATTCAACCCTAAAATAATACTCGAAGAGAACTTCAAAAGTCATCTTTTACTAATCATATATAATTGTTTACATTATATCATTTGATCAACCTGATCTATTAAAAATTGTCAATGGAAAATACCTTGCCAAACAATGCAATACCTATTTAAGTTAATTAAACACTCACTCATTAATTAATTAATTTCCTAAAATACAAAAGACATGTTGGTGAAAGTTAGGCACCCAGGTAATATCAATAGTTCCACGGACAGCTATGTAGGCCGGAGCTTCTATTGCGTGCGATCTACGTTTGGTCAGAAAACTACCACCCCCCCCCCAA